TAATCCTTGGGCTTGTTTTTCATTCAGGTCTTGACACTGTTTCTCATTATTTCTAAGTATTCTGATTATTAATTTTCTGAATTCTTTTTCTGGCATGTTTTCAACTTCTTCTTCTTCTGCCTCTGTTATGGTTGGTTTAGCCTGCTCCATTGGCAAATTTATATGATCTTCTATATTTTTTTGGTTTTTGGTTTTGTTTTTTGGCATTCCATCTGGGTGATTTTTCGGGTTGATTTCCCTCTACTATAGGCTGCTGTAAGTCTCTACCAATATCCAGTGTAATCAGGCTGCTCTACACAGCCTGCAGGTAAACAGACAGGATGGCTGAGCTCAGGTGCTCAGATCAGGGGAGGAGAGGCCGTGGGGGGCTCAGGACAGAGGTGCTGGGGATCCCCAGCCCCACGTGGAGTATGGTTCCACACGAGCCCAGTCCCCTGCTCCAAGTCCCCCTCAATCAGAGAAACCCAGCACAGTGTGTGGGCATGGGTCACCAGCTGGCCCGGGGCCAGGGTATCCCGTACTCTCAGTTCCCAGAGGAGCTCGGGGCCTGTGCTCCAAGACACCCTCCCCTCCTCAAGCCCCTAGCAGGGACCCAAGTCCGCCAGCTCCCAGCAGGACCCCAACCCAGGCCCCTGTCCCCTGTTGTGGGCCCTCCTGCACCTGCCACAGACATACCTGGGCTGCACCTCAGCCACACCTCTGTAGGGTCTGCCGTCTTCATCTGCTCTCATCAGCTCTGAGAGGCCTGGAAGATTCCGTCACCCTCCCCACAGGATCCAGCCCTCCCCACTCCCCTCCCCCCGCCCCAGCCCCCACAACTGCACTCAACAGCTCAGGAAAGTGAAGTGCGTGTCTCGGCCACCCGGCCTGTGCAGGGAGAACCAGAACCCTAACTGGACAGAAAGTGGACTCCGGGGGGGGGGGCTGGAGTGGGGGAGGGAGGCCGGGCAGTCACAGTACAGGGGGCAGAGGAGGCGGAGGCCTGGTCCTAGCTGTCCCTAGTGCCCGCTGTGTCCTGGGCCCCGTCCTCAGGGACAGCAGGGGAGGTCGGGGAGGGGCTGCTCCCTTCCTGTGAGGCCGCAGATGAGGAACCCGTGACGTCTCCCCGCTCATCTCCAGCCGGATTCTGGGCCTGCGCCCCTCACAGCTGCTCTGCTCCACGGGACCATGGGTGGCGGGGCCCAGACCCCGGCCCTCACTGCCCTCCTCTGTCTGGGTGAGCCGGGGACACGGGGACAATGGGACCCCTACAGGTGCGGGAGAGTACAGCGCCCTGTCTGGGCAGCGGCTCTTCCTCTATTCAGCTGTGGACGTCTCCTGCCCTATAGCTGTGCCCAGTCCGCCTTGCTCTCCGGTGGGAGAGTCCCCCCTGCAGACCAAATGTGGATCCGCACCCATGTGCGCCTCGCGCTTTGCTCTTTCTTCATGGAGCCTTTTCTCTGTTTCTGATGAATGCAGTTCCCAGTGCGCATGCGTGGGAATCCGCGTTTCCACCCAAGAACACGGAGCTTGTGCCAAGTAGCAGAATAAACGAGCGAAATCGGATTTCAGGGTGGGAGGGGTCCATGCATTTGGGAGTGACCCAGAACATGGAAGATTTCTCTCTCTCTCTCTCTCTCTCTCTCTCTCTCTCTGTATCTAGCTCTGAAACTCTTTCAAATAAATAAAATGTATGTTTTTAAAAAGTTAATGGTGTACAGCATTGGTAATATACTAAAAGTCAGCAATCTATACACTTTCAAGAGCTGGTTTTGTGTCATGTGAATTTGAGCTCAATAAAGAAGGAAACCTGGATCCTCGGAATTACCATCCAATCCATCAGTTCCTCTCCTGCACATATAACCACAGGGATTGAAGCAGGAACCCAAGCAGGTTTTGCATCCACGGGTTCATAGCAGCCTCATTCACATGAGCCCAAAGATGCCAGCAACCAGAATAAGCACAACAGGTGAGTGGTCCACAACAGGCGGTGTTTGTAGACACGGCTGACACTCTCCTGTTAGAAAAGAAGGAGGGTCTGGATAATCGTGGAGAAACCCTGAAGATATGACAATACAGAAATCAGCCGGTGTCACAAAGACACCATGGTCGGATTCTGCTCTGAGAGGTGCCCGGGGGTGCAGATTCAGAGGGCAGAACGTGGACTCGGGTGTGGGAAGGCAGCGTGCAGGCTCCTGCTAGTGGGTCTGGGGTTTCTGTCTCCGCTAATGAAGATGTTTGTGAACAGGTGCTGGTGGGTACACGACACAGTGAACGTGAGAGGTAGCTGCAGCATGAATTAAATTTCGGTCAGGTCTGTAATCTGTGCTCTGTGAATTTCAGCTCGACAAAGGAGGAAGACACAAACACCAAAAACATTTTTGCCACCTATTTTTCCCTTTAAATGAACACATAATAATTTGGGAGGTGCAGTGTAGTATTTGAGGGTGTGCTGATCACACCAGGGCGTTCCCATCTCGTCATGTCTTGTGTTTGGGCCCCAGCTCCTCTCCTCGAGTTCTTTGTAGAAACACTCAACAGGTTATGTGAGCCATGGGTGCCTCCTGTGCTGTGCAGACAGAGCCGTTCCTCTATCTGACTCCACCTTGGGACCCGGGGACCAAACCTCCCTCATCTCTCCCCCAGACCCTTTTCAGCGATAGTGGTCACCATCCTACTCTACTACTATAAGACCAACTTTTCCAACTTCCGTGTAGAAGGGAGAACTTACACTGGATTCCTGGGAAGGCGTATTTCACTTAATGTTCTCCAGTCCCAGCCATTTCTCCACAAATGACTGGGTTTCATTAACACTTTTTGAGAACAGAATTATAGGGTGGGAGTTGGTACAGCAGTTAAGTCCCTGATTGGATGCCTGAATCCCACAGCTGAGTGCCTGGGTTAGGTCCAGATCTGCCTCTGAGGTGGCTTCCATTACTGCACACCTAGGAGACAGGCAGTGGTTCAGTGCTTGGTTCCTGCCCCAGGAGGGAGATTGGCTGCAGCTCCAGGCTCCTGACTGCGTAGCACAGCCCTGGCTATTGCCAGCATTTGGGGGGTGAACCAGCAAACAAAACATCTCTCCCTCTCTCTTCCCCTATCAAAGTATAAGTATTTCAAAAGAAAATGATAGGCCTTTCATCTTAATTTATTTCTGCCCCACCCCCACCCCAAGAACAGGGAAAAATGGTGTCTCTCTGACAGTCCACCGAAGTCTAGGCTGCATTTTTTCTAAGGCATATTGCCAGTCCTATCATAACTGCCATACTAGGTTCACCAATTCCCTTGAGTGGGTGTGTGAAGATCTTGTGCCAGGAAACCCCTGTATCTTCCTTGTACCAACTGGAGATCCTGGGAAGCCACACATGAGGTGGTGGAAAAGGAACTGGGGTTGCAGAAGGAGGCTGATTCATCAGGACTCCCTCGGATACAGCACTGCAGGGTGTTACCATGGGACATAGAAAGGATTCCCACGGATACAACCATGCAGGGTGTTCCCAGTAGCGACAGATGGAGGATTCCCATGAATACAACACTGCAGGGTGTTCCCAGTGTGACATAGGGAGGACTCGCACAATTACAACACTACATGGTGTTATCAGTGCTGACAGAAGGAGGACTCCCATGGATACAACACTGCAGGGTGTTACTAGTGAGACATAGGGAGGACTCCCATGGATACAACACCCCAGGTGTTACCAGTATTGACAGAGGGATCGTCACCTGAGCAGCCCCCAGTGTTGCCCTAGAGTTGGTGGTGCTGGGTAAGGAGATAGCCAGGGTCTTCAGCCCTCATGTGGGAATCTTACCTGATTTTTAATAGACTTCTAGAACGGTTTTAGGGAACAAATGTGAAGTTACCACATGGGGTTGCTATAGACCCTTCACCCAGCTCCCTGTTAGCATTGTAGGTTAATATGGGACATTTCTTCCCAGCACCCTTAGCTCAACTAGTCCATGGTTTATTTAGATTTCCTGTGTTGGAACCTAATCCTTTATCTTCTCCAGGATCTCACACTGCCTCTGGTTCTCTCTGTCTCTTTAGGCCCTTCAATTCCCTTGTTGGTGTTGACCTTGATGACAATTTTCAAGAACATGTGCAAGACCTCAAGGACGCCCTGCCCTGGGAAGCTGTGTGACAGGACTGGGTGATGGGTCACTATGCAGAAGATGCCAGAAAAGGGCTGTCCCAAGCACAGCCCAGCAGGGACCCAGAGGATGCAGGAGCCTGGCTGCTGCTGCTGGATCTGGGGCACCTGGTTCCCAAGGGAGCGTCCCCCTTCCTCCCGGCACATTCTGTGTGGAAGGAAGTCTACATCAATCCACGCCTGAGAAGTGGAGCGCAATGCACCTGCTCCGGCCCAGCCTTCACTCTAGCTCTACCCCCAGGGCGGCCCAACCTGCTGTATCTGGAGGGGGCGTCTAGGCCCCCTGCTTTCCGGAGGAGCACGTCTGGGGTTTCCGGAAGAGAAGTGCAGGGTCTCTTAATTTCATGAAGTTGGTGTGTGGGGTCTCCAGAGAGCACCCGAGATTCCCGGGTTTCCGGAAGAGAACTTTTGTGGTTCCTAAAGATAGTGTGTAGGGGGGGTCTCCGGAAGAGCGCGTCTGATACTGCAGCTATCCGGAAGAGGGGACTGGGGTCTTTATATGCACGCCCGAGGATCCCGGGTTTCCGGAAGAGCGCGTCTGGCATTTCCGGTCCATGAACATTCTCTCTACCCGGCAGCTCCCCTTCAGCCCCACCTGGCCCCTGGAGCCCTTAGTACCACGCCCGCTTCCTGGTTTACTTCTCGACGGTGCCAACTCCCTGAGCACGTGGGCGGCTCCTTGGCTCACCTGTCCACAACAGTGTGGGACAGAGAGGGGATCCTGGGCTGCACCACCCCTCTGGGCCCAGACCCCACTGCTCCCTTCTCCTAGCGCAGGTCGGGCACAGGGGAGGAGCTAACGGGGAGGAGACCCTTAGATACCTGTGCGCCCGCGTTCCTGCGGCGCAGCTCGCATCGCTGTCATGGATCAACCGAGTCGAATGGGGCCCGAAGCAAGGCGTCTCACAGTGGAATAAGACTCGGCCATGGAACGAGTGAAACCAGGACGTTTGCAGCAAACCGAGGCACTGCGGACACTGTGGGAGTGAGACAAGCCAGGCACAGAGGAGAACCCACGCGGGAAGTCACTCAGGTGTGGGCTGTGAGGAACTCAGGGAGCAGCATGGTGGTCACCAGGGGAGGGCGTGGGATCCGCAGGTCAGAGAGCAGAGCTACAGAATCACGTGGGAGGAGAGGTCTAGAGGTGTAGTGTGCGTCATGGCGACTTAGTTAATAACGCTCACGGCATGGGCAGCTGAAATTGCTTAAAACTGTGTCAGATGCTCCCAGCACACAATAAGTCTGTGAGGTAATGCACACGTTATCTAGCTTGGGTTAGCTCTTCCATTATGTGTGTGTGTGTCCGCGCGTGTTTCATGTTTATGTGACAAATAGACACAAATACAACCTTTGGCTTCAAAGTAACTTTCTTCAAAAGGAGAAAGTGTGCTGCCCTCACCCCTTCTCTCAGGCTCCTGTGACAAGCCCTGCCTGGCCGTGGAACAGGATCTGGGGTGAGGCCAGGACAGACCATTTTCCTGTGATTTCCTCTCCAGCGTCCTCTTGGATAAGTTCCAGTGAGCCCAGAGGGAAATGGCTCCCTGCCACAGCGCTGACGCCAGGGGTGCTGGGCAACCTTGGTTCTTGTCCTAGAACCCCCGTATCTCTGTGGTCGCCACCATGGCAGCCCTCAGGTGTGGCAGCCCCCAGTGGTGCCCTGGAGCTCGTGGTCACAGGTAGGTGTCTCTCAGTCCCGCTGTGTCCTTGGCAGAGGCTCGCGGCTGGCTGTCCAGGGCCCTGTCCATAGCAGGGGTGTGCAGAGGAGTGTGGGAACGCAGTAGAGGGCACCACGACTCGGGCAAGGATGCGACGAGAATGGCTTCCCCCCCGCCCATTCAGCTCACATCCTCTGCCGTCTCCCAGGCAGTATCCCTGGGGACAGGAGGTCAGCTGAGCCAGGTGGGCGTGGGCACAGCACAGCAGCCACGAGAGATACACACTCTGGATCATGGTCAAGTCCCAGTGAGCCAGGTTAGAGCTGATGTTTGTGTGTCACAGCGTGTCCACATGGCCTGGGGCAGCCTTCTTTAGATTTGTCTCAGACAATGAAAAGGTGAAAACACACGTAGCCCACGGGCCATCCACAGAGAGGCCGGAGGCTGGCTCTGGTCCTTGGGGCAGGATGTGCTGACCTCTGCTGGGCACTGAGTACGCGAGTGGAGGTGCAGGTCAGGCTGCGCACGGGATGCTGTCCCATCAGCACACTCACACACGCATGCACACACACGCAGACACACAGACACACATGCACACATACACACAAATGCAGACACATAAACACATGTACACAAACATGCGCGCATGCACACACATGCAGGAACACACAGAGAAACACACAGAAATACATGTGTGCACACAGATGCACACACACATGCACACATAAGCACAGATGCGCATGCCCAGAGACACAAACATGCATGCACCTGCAGACCCACACATAGATACATACGTGCAAACACATGCAGAAATACATGCAGAGACATACACATGCACACACACAGATGCACATACATACTCACGTGCACACAGACATACAAATGTGCACACATGTGCACACACATCAACAGGACACATTAGAAACAATTCCATAAGTATCTGGTCTCAAGGGCACAGAAATAAAGAGCCAGTGGTGGAGACGAAAGCTTAGTTGAGAGCCTTCTGGCTCGAGTGGGAGCGGAAGTGGGGGTACTCGGCAGACGCTGCCCAGGAGGTGGGCCCTGATGGGGTAAGCACCTCCCAGGGAACAGAGACCCCGCCCCAAGTCCCTGAGGAGGGGGCTTTGAACCAAGGTCTCCACAGAGCTCCAGAGAGCGGGTGCTGTGGAAAGAAAGCAGTCAGGACCCTCAGCCCTCAGGGAAAAGCTCCGGTCACCACCCCAGCCGGCCACATACAGGGAGCCTGCACCTGCAGATCTGGAAGCAAAGTCCTGAAAACCCAACACCCGCGGCCTTCACGAGAGCACGAGGCTGAGTCTGACCGAGTGGGGTGGGAACCTGCAAACCCACAGCGTCCACCGGAGAGCTGCCACCTGCTGGGCACCCAGCCCTGGGGGAACTGGGGAGACCACAGAAAGGGAGCTGGGGCCCCTCCACGGGGAGCAGAACCCACTGCAGCTGAACGCTTAGCGTGAACAACCGGCCTCCTGAGGAAGCAATGTCCCACGATGCAAAGGGAGGCCCGGGTTCGATTCCCCGTTGCAGGTCCGGGCTCCGGCTCCCTGCTCATGCAGGTCCTGGAGCCGTAGTCTTGGGTAGGGTAGCTGGGTTCCTGCCTCCCGTGTCGGGGCGTGGATGGAGCTCCTGGACCCTGGTGTTAGCCCTGGTTCAAACCGGCCATGATAGGCATTTGGGGAGTGAACCAGTGGATGGAGCTGACTCACACACTCACTCTTTCTCATAGCCTCCCAAATTTTCAGAATTTAAAAATAGAAGATCAGAAACTCATAGGAAACCAGAGGTGGACCCCCGCACCACCCCAGGAGATTCCGTGGGGACATTGGCCTCGTCCTCACAGTGACAGGGGTTGACTCCATAATGATGGTCGGTGTTTGGAGAGAGTTTGTGTTGGCGGAGGTGTGGGGAGCCGGTCCCTGTGCCCCAGGACAAGAGAAGAAACCCAGTCTCAGGTGTGGACTCCCAGAGCTAGAGCGGCCCTGCCACGGTCCCTGACGCTGTCTCTGAAATCCAGCCACTGACATCTCCCCCAAGGTGAGTACTCAGGGCTCTGGGGGCACGAGCCAGGGCAGATGGGCGGGGCCTTGTTCGCCATCACTTTCAGGGAGCACAGAAAACCCGCCTTCCCGCCCCCACCCTCCCTCCTGCACCTGCAGGGAGATGGCCGTGGTCCTCGCAGTTCTGTAACTCAGAAAGGAGTCGGAGCCCGCGCTCCCTTTTCCAGACAGGGGGAGGTGCTGTGCAGAGTCCCACATCTCTCCACGGCCTTAAGGCATTAAAGCAGGGGACACGGAACCCCCGTTCCCTCCCTCGTCTCCCCTGCATGTGGACAGCACGGTGACCTCCCAGGGCAGCCCCGCGACTGCGACCCTCGGTCTGATCCCCCGTTCCGGAGCTGCAGATGCGCTGTGAACCCACGCGGGGTCTCTGCATTCACCTCCTGCAGCAGAGGGAATGCACTCCCGGCTGCTGGAGGTCTGGGCTCTGCTAAGTGGAGCTGTGTGGATCTCCCTTGGAGCGCTGACGGGAGTTCGTGTGTGGACCACGAACCTGCGACCTGACGGTGACCAGTGAGGGCAGTTTCTGGTTGAGACGTTGGGTTCTATTTAGGTAGGATGACGTCATCAGCAAAGAGAGGTAGTCTTAGGTAAGATGGCGTCATCAGGAAAGAGCCGACATGGCTTCTTCCTTCCCAATTCGGACGCTTCTGCGGCTTCTTCTCGCCCACCTGCTCTGGCGAGGACGTGCAGGGCCGCGCAGGCAGCAGTCAGGGTTCACGTTTCCTACAAGGACCCGCACTCTTCCTCCACGGAGACAGCGGCAAAGCAGCGCGCACTCCCCTCAGCAGGCGTCTGAGCGCCGCATGTCGGTGTGCACCTTTGCAGGCATGTGTAAGTGTGCGCCTGCGCAGTCACGTGTCGGTGTGCGTCTGCGAATCACGTGGCTGGCAGCGCCTGCGCAGTCCAAAGTCCCTGTGCGTCTGCCCAGTCGCGTCATGATGCGCCTGCGCAGTCCAGAGTCGGTGTGCGTGTGCGCGAGGCCGCCTCAGGTGAGTCCGTGTCCGCCCACACGGGGAAGCTGAGGCTCAGGGCAGAGGGGTGTGTGAGGGGACGCAGTGAGGGCGCCTCCCCCGGGAGTCAGGGCAGGCGGCAGGGAGGGGGCGGCGCAGGTCCTGGGAGGCCTCAGGGCCCCTGCAGCGGGGTGGTCGGGTCAGGGGAAGCTGTGGCTGAGGGGCGCTGGGAGCGGCGTCCGCGGCGGAGGGGGCGTCCGGGCCTCCCCCGCCCTGGGTCGGGCCCCGGGACCTCCGGGCAGGGCGGGAGCGGGGCTGTGCCCACCTGCGTCCTCCGGAAGTGGCCGGGCTGCGACCCCACAGGAGGGGCTGAGGGCGGGGACGACCCCGGGGCGCATCAGCCCACCTGAGGGGCGACTCCGGGAGGCCCCGTGTCCTTGGTGCTGGGTCCTGGCCCTGGGAGAGGAGGGCGGAGCCGGCTGACAGGGCGGGGCGGGGCCTCATCCCTGCAGGGCGCCTGTGCCCCCATCCTGGGGACTGAGGGCCTGGCTGGGGTGGGGGCGGTGCCCCTTCCTGTGGGGCTGCGGGCGGAACAGCCCTGCGATGCTGGGAGGACCCGGCCTCCGAGCGTCCACACCCGGTGTGTGTCCGTGCCGCGGGCGCTGTGCCGGGGCTGGCGGAGAGGACTGCCATGATCCCTCCCTCGTGGGCCTGCTCTGCCTGGGGAGACTGGAAGATGGGGAGGGGAGACCCTGCTCTGGGAGGGACCCTGCCCCCGCCCACCGCCCGCCCCCGCCCACAGCCAGGCCCTGCTCCCTGGAGACCCCAGGCTCAGGAGCCCCGGGGAGGAGAGGACCTGTGCAGGGGCAGGGGAAACCCCTCATGGGGAGCTCTCCTCCAGGGCTGTGCGGGCCCAGGACCCGAGTGCAGGCAGGTGAGCGTGCCCCCACTCTGCCGGTCCCCTCCCCCGCCATGGGACAAGGGCCACCCCGGGCAGCTGGGAGGGGACAGCAGCCCTGTCTGGTGAGGAGGGCGTCTGGGAGGGTCCTGGCCTGCGAGGGGACATGGTCCTGGGACCTAGCCACTAGTTTCCTTCCAGGGACCCTCCCCAGACCCAGCCTCCGGGCTGAGCCAGGCTCTGTGATCACCCTGGGCAGGCCTGGGGCCCTGTGGTGTTGGGGACCCTGGAGGCCCAGGAGTGCCGTCTGTATAGAGAGGGAATCCCAGAGCCCTGGGACAGAGCGATGCCCCTGGAGCCCGGAAACAAGGCCAAGTTCCCCACCCTCTCATGGCTGAGGTGTATGCGGGGCGCTACCGCTGTGTCTGCCTCAGCGCTGCTGGCTGCTCAGAGCCCAGTGCCGCCCTGGAGCTGGGGTGACAGTGAGGAAGCCACACCTGAGCAGGAGCTGGGTAGGTCACGGGGACGCTGAGAGGAGGCGTAGATGGGAATTGGGTGCGGGGCCTGGGCTCCTGGGCCAGACACCCAGAGTGAGGGCGGTGGGACTGCAGGGCAGGAGGGAGAAGTGTGTGGGCGGAGCCAGGTGCAGCCCCGCCCCTCTTCCCTCCTGACCCAGCAGGCCCTCGGTGGTCCCTGCAGAGGGCCTGACGGGGTCACACATGGACTCTGGGTCGGCCCAGCACCCTGGCCGGCTGCCCCAGGCCGGGCTCCCACAGGGGCCAGAGTAGATGCAGCGCTGGACAGGACCCCGCCCAGGACGGGCTTCACACCCCGGGGGCTGTGGGCCTCTAGACCAGACCAGGACTCAGACTTCTCAGGGCAATGGGCCCTGGCCTGACCTGCTCCTATAGGGAGAATCTCGCCAGGCTGTGGGTGCTGTGCGGCCCGGCCCCTGCAGAGCTCCGTTGAGGCCCCGGAGCACAGGGCAGCCCGACAGAGACCCGGAGGCAGCTCACCCAAGAGCCATGCTGAGCTGCGTCGCGAGACATGGGGGCCGGGAAGCACTGAGTATGGACCAGGCCGGGGTCTCCTTCTCCTCACTATCCCGTCCCTGTGCTCAGGGGGACCGGAGCCCAGCAGCCCTCGCACCCCTAGCCAGGCTCCCCCGCAGGTGAGTGAGCTACAGGCTGGACTTAGGGCTCAGGCTGCTGCGGGGAGGTGGGACTCGGGTGACTGGGTCTGCCCCTCCTCAGTGACCCCTCTTTGCACACCCCCAGCCCCAGCACCCAGGACCACACCCTGGAGAACCTCATCCGCATGGGCGTGGCGGGCTTGGTCCTGCTGGGCCTCGGGCTTCTGCTGGCGGAGGCTTGGTACAGCCAGAGAACGACCCGAGCCGCAGGCCAGCGATGACCTGGAGAGAGGACAGCGCTGGGTCAGAGAGGCTGTGCCCCAGGGGCAGGGGAGGCGGGAGGCCGGAGGCCAGGCATGCCTGGTGAGAAGCTGTGGGGAAGTGGGCGGAGCTCACCTGGGGTTGCAGGAATCCTGCTCAGGGGCAGGGACCCTGGTGGGCCGCTGGCAGTGCTGCTTCCCCGGGCTCCCACGCGCATTCTGGGAAGGGGCCCCGGCCTCCCGCAGCCCTGCCCACCGCCCTGCAGGCTCCCGTGCGGTTCTGTGCTGTTCCTCTCCAGGGACCGCACACAGCTCAGTGGCCCTGAGTGTCCACAGGAGCGGGGTGGAACGGCCCATCGATAGGGCAATGCCGGGATTCGCTCCCCTTGACCTTCAGCAAGTGGGCAGGACGTGGGCGGGACACCTGTCACTCAAGATGGATTCACCATTCCACTCACCAAAAGGAGGCGATGACACGTGGGGTCAGATATGGGAGGTCACAATTAATGGATCTGGGCTGGCTCTGTGGTGTAGTGGGTAAAAGCTGCCACCTGTGGTGCCGGCATCCCCTGTGGGCACCGGTTCGACACTCAGCTGCTCCACTTCTGATCCAGCTCTCTGCTATGGCCTGGGAAAGCAGCAGAAGATGGCCCAAGTCCTTGAGCCCCTGCATCCATGTGGGACACTCAGATGAAACTCGGGGCTCCTGGCTGGGGATCAGCCGAGCTCCAGCTGTGAGGGCCCATTGGGACTGAACCAGCAGATGGATTCCTCTCTCGCTCCTTCTCTCTGTAACTCTGACTTTCAAATAAATATTTTAAAAAACTTGTGGCTCATCAAACTGTAAGGTAAAATCCCAGATGACCATGGGACTCCGCCCTCCGAGAGGACCACTCAGAAGTGAAAGACTGAAAGTGTGTGCAGGGTTTCTTCCGGCACAGAAAGTTCAAGGTCACCTGGATTTCTCAGTGCTCGCCTAACATAAACCCCACAACACGGCGGTTCTGGCGGACGGCAGCACCTGGTGTTCTGGAAGAGTGCAGATGCCTGCCCGGCTTCCTCTGGTGGCTGATTACTCTGCTTGTCTGTGCGGTGCAAGTCTGCGTTTCCCACAGAGTTCAGTGAGGCGGGGTGGAGGGTGCGCCTGGATACTTCTCCCGTGTTTCCAGTTATGGGCTGGGGACTCCACCCCACCAGAGCGTAGCTTAGGGAGTAAAGCCAACACCAGCAGTGCCGGCATCACATATGGTATGGCCAAGTTGGAGTCCCGGCTGCTCCACTTCTGATCCAGCTCCCTGCTAATGCGCCTGGGAAAGCAGTAGAGAACGACCCAAGTGCTTGGGTCCCTGCACCCACGTGGGAGACCCAGAAGCTCCTGCCTGGCTCCTGGCTTCAGCCTCGCCCAGCCATATGGGAAGTGAGCCAGTATATGGGAAACCTCTGCCTCTGATTCTCCTCTCTCCCCATCTCTCCCTCTGAAATAAATAAATCAGTCTTTAAAAAAAATTTTTAAGCACTCCTAGAAGGAAATACCTGGGTAAATATGACCTCAGACTTCATCACAGTGTCTAAGCTGTGATTCCGAAAGTACAAGGAACAAATGGGAAAATGGCTGATTTGATCATCCCCAAAACTTCAGAACTCTGTGCACCATGGACAGCTATCAAGGAACAGAAAGACAACTGAACACATTGTGTAAAGATCTGGAAGCCACAACAGGAAAAGCAAGGGTGCAACTCAGTGCAAGAGAAGGGAAGTGAAAATAATGCCACAGAGAGTCACCCCCCACGCCCACCACACTGGTCACTTCTGGAAGACACAGTAGGCAGAGTGTGGTCAGGGTGTGGGGCAATCGCAGCCCTGAGACGCGGCTGGAATGTGCAGGGTTCGGCCACTGCGGCAAGAGGCTCATAGTTCCTCAAAGCACCAGACCCAGCGTCAGCACAGCACAGAGCAACCCACCCCCTGCATGGAGTCAGGCGCTCGCGTCGACCCACATCCTGGCAAGGGTCAGGGTCAGGTGCAGCGCTCACCAGTGTGCTGAGTGCAGGCTCCGTGGAGCGTTCTCACCACCGAGGGCCAGGACGAAGCCCTGACAACCATCCAGGGACTGTGCACACAGGCATCCATCCAAGCACGGCCGGCCAGGGACAGGAGCCGGATGTGCACCGGGGATGCGGGGCTCGGGATGGTGGGTCCCTGGCTCCGTGGGAACTCTGCTGAGCCCCAGGAAGCCATAGAGTGAGGATGTGTGTGGCAGGAGGTGCAGCCACACACACAGGGCCCCACATAGCACCGTTCCCAGAAACACCCAGGGCTGGGAGCCCACAGAGCCCTGGGGCTGGCGGGGCTGGCGGGGCTGATGGCTGCATGGTGTGGGGCTTCCTCCTGGGGTGAGGCCAGAGCCGGTCATTGAATGTCTGGGGCTTTACCGTGATTGCCACTGAGTGCACACTTTGCCAGCTCCTGTTTCTGGGAGGGGGACTTCCTCCAACCAGACGCAGGGCTAAGTCAAGGACAGATGCCTGTCAGTGCCTTTGCACCCGAGGCTGTGACGAGCTGCCATAGTTCTCTCCTGGGTCCCCACCCCAGAGCAGGCAGCTGAGAGCCTGCCCTCTGACCTCCACCCCAAACACGGCTGAGGATGGGGTCTTCCATTCTGTCTGGGACCCGGGACCGCTTCTCATTCACCTCTGGGGACGGCGGGTGCTCCTAGGGACTTCTGAGGAGGGGTGCCTACCAGAACGGTGCTGTCCCCACGTCTGAATCTGGAAGGGACACTGCAGGACCCTGAGACTGGAGTGCTGCGGCCACGGCCACCCAGAGAGGGGAGGTCTCGGGCATCCCTCCACCACAGAGACGCTGGGGGACGACGTCACCTGTTCAGGTCGCTCAGGAAGCGGCACCCCCATGTCATCCAGGAGCATGGAGCCCAGGTGCTCAGATCAGGGGAGGAGAGGCCGTGGGGGACTCAGGAAGCAGGTGCCGGGAATCCCCAGCCCCACGTGAGTGTGTATCTGCACACGGGCCCAGTGCCCTGCTCCCAGTCCCCTCTACCTAATGAGAAACCCGGTACAGTGCAGGCAGCACAGGGTGTGCGGCACTGGACCCCGGCTGGGCTGGTCAGGGCACCACCATATTCTCAGTTCCTAGGGTAGCTCGGGGCCTCTGCCCTCAGACACCCTCCCCTCCTCACAGCTGCTCGCCAGGCCCTGGGCCCGCCAGCTCCCAGCAGGACCCCGCCCCAAGGCCGGGTCCCCTGTTGTGGGCCCTCCTGCACCTGCCACAGCCACAGCTGGGCTGCAGCTCAGCCACACCTCTGCAGCGTCTGTGCCTTCTTCATCCCCTCCTGTCAGCACCAAAGGCCTGGAAGGTTCTGTCACCCTCCCAACGGGATCCAGACCTCCCCCTCCCCTCCCCCCGCGCCAGCCCCCACAACTGCACTCAACAGCTCAGGAAGGAGAAGTGTGTGTCTCGGCCACCCGGCCTATGCAGGGAGAACCAGAACCCTAACCAGGCAGCTCCTAGGCCCCGCCCATGAGGGGCACACCCTGGTGGGGCTGGAGTGGGGGGGGCGGAGACCAGGCAGGCACAGCACAGGGGGCAGCAGAGGTGGAGGCCTGGTCCCATGGTCCCCAAAACCTTTTCTGTCCTGGGCCCGTCCTCAGGGGAGGGGCTGCTCCCTTCCTGTGAGGCCGCAGATGAGGAACCCGTGACGTCTCCCCGGTCATCTCCAGCCGGGCTCTGGGCCTGCGCCCCTCACAGCTGCTCTGCTCCACGGGACCATGGGCGGCAGGGACAAGACCCCGGCCCTCACTGCCCTCCTCTGCCTGGGTGAGCCAGGGACACGGGGACAATGGGACCCCTACAGGTGCGGGAGGGGACAGCGCCCTGCCCCAGCTGGGACCCCAGGGCTCAGAGGACCAGGGCGGGCCTGGGCATCTCTGAAGGGGTGGGGAGTGGGGAGCAGCTCTCACGGGGACCTCTCTTCCAGGGCTGTGCTGGGCACCAGGGGATAAGGCACAGGCGGGTGAGTCCTCCCCTGACTGGGCTCAGCCCAGGGTCCCAGGCAGCTCAGGGTTAAGGAGCCTAGTGGGCTGGGCTGATGGTGATGGCTGGGAGGGGCTGGGAGTGGAGCTGGGGAATGGGGCGGGGGAGGGGCGGCACCCGGGGTCTGCAGCTCTGATTCCCTTCCAGGGACCCTCCCCAAGCCCTCCATCTGGGCCGACCCAGGCCCCCTGGTCGCCGTGGGGAGCCCTGTGACCCTCTGGTGCCAGGGCTCTCTGCAGGCTGAGATCTATCTTGTGTATAAAGAGGGCAGGCCTCTGGGCCGGGGTCGAGTTGGTTCTGAGCAGAGCCCACCCCCGCTCACACCACACTCATCTCCCGAAGCCTGCAGGATGCCAGCAACTCATTGGCAGGTCCCTCCAAGTCAGAGTTCCAAAACCGCCTCTTCTCATGTCCGTCTCTTGCTGGACAGCTCCTTCGGAGTCGGAAGCTCAGGCAGGTGCAGCTGTCACCTGGGGTGCACGACCCCCCTTTCCGCTCCAAAACCCTGTGGCCACCAGCATTGAGGCCACCTTTGAGGCAGAATGGCTGCTGTTGCTCCAGCCATCACCTCTGCTTTCAGGCTGGAAGAGAAGGAAAGGCAGACAGGATAAGAAACAGGCCCTAGGGGCGTAATGCTGCCCTTGAAGCCCCCTTTCTGGGAGTCTCAACAGTAAGGCTCTGTCTCACTGGCACAGACGTGGTCTCACGGCTGCACAGAACCGAGTCCAGGGTTCGTGAGCACGGCACCCCCAGAGGCAGGCTCGGAGCCCTGGGCAGGAATGGGGTGCACTCCTTCCCTTCCGCCCCTCACGAGCGGGACGGGCGGCTTCCTCCAAGGGGCGCTGAGCTCCCGTCTGCTCCCTCCTAGAGGCCTGGCCCAGTCCCTCCATCTCCGCTGAGCCAGGCCCCACGGTCCTCCTGGGGCAGCCCGTGACCATCGTGTGTCGGAGCCCTGCTGGGTTTGACGCTGTCCGCCTGGAGAAAGAAGGAAGTGAGGTCAAGAATGAGAGGAGCACGTCGCCTAACCAGAGGGAGGCGCGGTTTCCCCTCCTCGCCATGGACGCAGACACGGCTGGGCGGTACCG